TGTTTGACAATTTTATGAGTTTATGAGCTGTAAAGAGCACATTTCTTTTTAGTTGCATTTCATTAGCCATTTATTTATCAACACAGTTTATCTTTCTAAAGTAGAAATATTATATATCATAGTTTAATGCAGACAAAAATGTTTACTATTAATGAATATAAAAATATTCAAAATATCCTGTAATCATAAAGTAACAATTGGTAAAAGCAAGACTACACTGTCTCTTACGTGGATCTTATCATTCTGGAATTACTTTTATTCAGAAATGGTTTTGATCCTACCACAAGGATTCATTAAGATACCATACACTTTGATAAGAATTTATCGTTAGGTTGAACCATATTAAATACTGCTATTCTACCATTTTTGACTGATAAAAATGACATTTGCATACAGTTTAACCTAATAGTTACTCTCACCAAAGAAGTAAAGTATAAAGTTGTTCACCTTTTTTGGATTTTTAAATTGAAGAAGACACAAATCTAAGTTTCCATATAAGCTGATGGGTAACATATGATTAACTGCTTTACTTGGCTAGCACAGCACTTTGAACTGATAAGTCAAATGAACGACATGTCCCAGGCCCACCAGGAAAACCACACCAGCAGCCAAGACCTTCATCTGTTGCTGCAGCAGTGCCCTGTCAGTGAGCAAGTAGACAAGGAAGAAGAAACGTGAGCGTGTCCTCTGTGTTTGACGAAATAGGTTGTATCTTGGCAGCAAACTCTGAACTTGCTAAAGGTCAAAACCTGGACTTGGCACTCATGCCTCACAGAACTCGCTTATCTAGATGTTTCAAAAGTGTCTTCCAATGTTCACTGCTTATCGAATGGCAAGGCAGAAAACAAGGAACATTTGTTGCTCTACTTGCTCCAATTTAGCAGGGCTGTTCTGGGACTGGGTAGCCAGGATATGGAAACCAGCTTGCAGGGTCATGGTGAAGGAGCTCAGTGAGCCTAGCACAAGCTGAGGTAAGCCTGGGCCCTGCACTGATGTCCTGGGCCTTAGCAAGAGTGTGGCGTCAATGTTGGTATCTGGAATATCAGCAGATGGATCAAAATCACGTTGAGCCCATTATGAACAGAAGAGGCCCCGCATCTGATAGAGAGGATGAGTTTAGAAAAGCTGCGGCCTGCTGAGAGTGAGCCCAGAAATGTCTGAGGTGGGCGTGAGAGGTAAGGGCTCAGTGAGGAGCCCATCACGAATGTGAAGAGCAGCACCCTGGGTGAAGAGTGCCTCCTAGCAGGTGACATCACAGGCAATTTTGTCTCAATTATTTTAATATTTCAGATTTGAGTGTTTTGTCCTGAAAAACCTGGGCAAATACCCTAATGTGAGATAGCACTTAAGTGAGATACCACTGTATGTGATCTATTGTAGGTGCTCAGTTCATTCTCTTCTTACAAAATCAAGAGTCAGTGATAGATGTTCTATGTTGATTTGTCTGTTTTATTATATATGCGTATGTCTTAGTCCATTCAGGCTGCTATAGTGAAAATACCAGAGACCGGGGGCAGTGGGGACGGGGGCAGGCTTAAACATTTATTTCTCACAGTTCCAGAGGCAGGGAAGTCCAAGCTCAAGATGCCAGTAGATTTAGTGTTTGGTATCTTGTGAGGACCCGTTTCCTGTGTCCTCACATGACAGAAGGGGTGAGAGAACTTTCTGGTGTCACTTTTTTAAGGGTACTAATCCCACTCATGAGGGCTCCACTCTCATGACCTAATGACCTCCTGAAGGCTCCATCTCCAAATACCATCACACTGAGTGTTAGGATTTCAACATATGAATTTGAGGGGGGACACAAACATTCAGCCCATTGCAATAGACATATGTGTGTGTGTGTGTGTGTATAAATTGTGCTATCACTATCTCTAGGTCTATCTAGACATCTACATGAGCAGATAATATTAGGATTGTGAATGTCTATAACCATTTATACTTTGAATTATACTAATTTGGGGAAGTGTTTCATGTCCATTTTAGACTAATAGCTCTTGATAGCAGGATATATATATCATCAACAGTGTTTCTCAAATACTACCTGCTTTATAACTATTTGATGTATGAAAAGATGATTGGGTGAATACAAACAATCAAGAGAATTTAGTGAACAAATGCACATTTGTAGTTTTTTAGTCCAATATGAGTTTCAAATAATATTTTCTATAGCACAAGTCTTTGTTTCTTGTTTGAAGGTCGACAAGTCTAAGGGCTGGTTTTACCCACTTGCTGTATTTCTGCTAACACATACAAATCTTGTTAGCTTTCAGAGATAAAATGCAAAACTGAGTTAAAAAATAGATTTTTTTAACTTCTTTTACTTAACAAACTGGGCTTAAACAAAATCAATAAAGTCATAAAGTGAAGTGTAGCAGTTTTACCTATTGAAGCTGAAGGTCTTATAGGGAGAAAGACTGTGTTACCAGGTAAGATCCAAAGAAATAGAATCTTAAGGTCATTTTTTGAAAGAGAATTACCTTTCCACATGCTGTAAAAAATTAACAAGAGAAGATGCTGATAGCTTCGAAATCCCCAAAAGACTAAGAATTGCAGTTATAGGAATATTATGATGGTGACTGATATTGTGAGTGTATATTTGCGTGTATGTGGGAAAAGTAAAGAATTTGGAAAAAGACTTTAGGCTCTTTGTTGTCAGTGGGAGCTCTGGGATTGGGTAAGAAGAACTACATTGACCTGACTATGCTTGTAGGATGATGTCCTGCATCAATCGACAAAAATTTTGTGTGTGTGTGCCTCCTATGACATAGAACTGTGCTAGATGCTAAGGTTGATGTGAAAAACAAAAAACCCAAGGCCCTGTCTTCAACAAATACATGGCCTAGCTGAGTAAACCACACAGATAGGCATGAAAAAAAGAGTAATCAACACAGTCATTAAGTGACAGGAGCCAAATGAGTAGTGTGGAGGCAAAAGTCAGAAGAGATAGAATTAAAATCTTCCAAAATCTTCACAAAAGAGATGGGAGTTGGAGGATGGAAGATTGTGATAGCGAGGGAAGCAGTTGAAGACATTGCAGCAAAGTGGCTTAGGACAAGGAGCAGAAATGGAAAAGCCTAAAGATCTACTGGGTTTAGTAGGCAGACCAGTGTGACTGAGTTAGAAGGTTCATGCAGGGAGAGAGTGAAAATGCGCCTGGAAAGAGGGTCTCATGTCAGGTTGTGGAGGCTGCAAGTGCCAGAGTTTGAATCTTCCTGTAAGCAACGGGGAATCATTGAAAACTTTTGAGGAAGAGACCACCAGGATGGAAGTGGCATTTTAGAAAAATCATTCCAGTGGTAGTGCAGTTGAAGGATTGTACTGGGGAGAACCAGATGGCAGGGATACCTGGAAAAAATATTTCACAGGAACAATTAACGAGGTTGATTGGATAAGGTGGTGGTAAAAGAGAGGGAGACATCAAAAATGATTTTCAGATGTTGAATTTGGGTCACCAGTAACAAAATATAAAACCACAAAAATTCCCTATGGTGGGGCTGGCCCCGTGGCCGAGTGGTTAAGTTTGCGCGCTCCGCTGCAGGTGGCCCCGTGTTTCGTTGGTTCGAATCCTGGGCGTGGACACGGCACTGCTCATCAAACCACGCTGAGGCAGCATCCCACATGCCACAACTAGAAGGACCCACAACGAAGAATATACACCTATGTACTGGGGGGCTTTGGGGAGAAAAAGGAAAAAAATAAAATCTTTAAAAAAAAAAAAAACTTAAAAAAAAAAAAAATTCCCTATGGAAAACTAGCTTTGGAAGGAAGACAGTTATTTCAGACAAGGTAAGTATAGGGTTAGGGAGGAGCAAGTCCACTAAGAAGGCCCAACATAGCACTGGAAATGTGAGTTTGGGGTGTGGTGGGCTAGGGTAGTAAGTAGATTTTGTCACTTATTTAAATGGAAAGTATGCCTGAAACTCAGGATGTCACATTCTCCGCACTTGTTTGGAAGGAAGAATGTAGTGAGAGAAGAGCAGAAAGCTGAATATCAGGGCATTTCTGTCTTAGAAGTCGGTGGAGAAAAATACAGTCAAAATAGGAGATGCGAAAATAATAGTCAGAGAGGTAGGAGGACTACTGAGGTGTCAGAATCCAACGGAAGGGTTTCATGTAAACTTTCACCAAGTTCAGGGAAAAGCACCCGTAGAAACAGAGATCCCTGAACTGGGTAATCAACATGTCTCAAGGTCCTTGAGGAGTGAGAGAGCTTCGAAGTGGATCTCAGGGCCTCAAAAAGGATGATCTAGCCTCGTGCTGTCCACCACAAGGCCACATGTAGCTACTGACTGTGAATGTGCCTAATCAAATTGAAATATGATGTCATTGTAAATTACATACCAGATTTCAAACACTTAGTATGAAAAGAAATAATGTGAAAGATCTCATTAATAACATTTAAATATTGATCATACATTGAAATGATAATATTTTGGATATATTGGGCTAAATAAAATATGCTATTAGGGGCCGGCCCTGTGGCCCAGTGGTAAAGTTCGCGCACTCCACTTCAGCAGCCCGGGGTGTCGCCGGTCAGGCACCACTCATCAGGCCATGTTGAGGCAGCGTCCCACATGCCACAACTAGAAGGACCCACAACTAAAATAAAATATACAACTATGTACTGGGGGGATTTGGAGGAGAAAAAGCAGGAAAAAAATGCTATTAAAGTTAATTTTACCTTAAAATTTTTTAAATATGGCTACTAGAAAATGTACTCACATTATATTTTGATTGGACGTTGCTGATCTGGACCTTCATAATGAAGCTCAATAATATAGTGCTGTGAAACACACACACTCACATACACTTTAACAGTTAAATGTATTTTTAGTCTATCCACCCAGTCCAAACTCTTTGAAAATATGTTTTGCATTTTTTGAGTACATTTCTGTATTTTGTGACCAGTATATATTATAGAGATCCATTTGTTTATTTTGTGCAAAACTTAGGTTATTCCATCTTACTGAACATTTGGCTCTTTTTTCAACCAACAGATGATGCTACAGCTGACAGTCGCCAAACTTACACTTTAACTGATTATTTAAAAAATACTCATAGGCTGAAGTACTACTCCTTGCAGTGGGTTTCAGGTAAGGATTTTTTGTAGGGGAGGGGACAGGTTTTTATGCTTACGTTCATTCTAGTTAGGTTGTGGGGCACTTTTATGGCACTGAGAAGATATCTTTGTATTTTTAAACCCTATAGGAGAGTATTTTTTTCTGCTTGGTGGGAAGGGAGATAAGATAGAAAAAACCTTAGTATTTCTTTGATATGTACCATAAAAAGTTAAATGTGAATTGAATCCTTGACAATAATGATGGAAAAATGAATGCCTACTGGTGTAATATTTATCAGTCAATGTTTTTCCAACTTAGAAATGCTTATTTAGTACTTGTGTGAAGTTAAATCTTAAATTTTTATTGCATAATTTTTAGCTTATGAAGATGTTTAATGGCAACTTGAAATATTGATCTGGCCGTTTTCTCTCTTCAGATCATGAATATCTCTACAAACAAGAAAATAATATCTTGCTATTCAATGCTGAATATGGAAACAGCTCCATTTTCTTGGAGAACAGTACATTTGTATGTTTAATCACATAATTAATTCATACTTTAAGGAAATTCTGGGGATTTTTTTTCATAACCTTTCAAATCATGAGTACTATCGTTTCTCATCCTGTTGGACTCTCTCTGCAGCATATGGCACAGTGGATCTTTCTCTCCTTCTTGGAATGCTCCCTGCCTTGGCTACTTTTTAGTCTCCTCTGACGATTCCTCCTCCTCTGCCCATACTCCTAAGTGTAAGTGCTCCCCAGGGCTCTGTCTTTGCTTGCTGGCCTCTCTCCTCACTTTGCATGCTCTCCTTCAGTGAATTTCATGCACTTCCACAGCATTCACGCTCTCTTTCTGGTCTTGTTTCTCAAATACACACTTTTAACACTAACATTCTCCAAAGATCTAAACCTCTGTTTCCAACAGCTTGCTGGCTTCTACACATGGATGGGCTACAGGCATTTAAATTCAGGTCAAGCTAAACTAGTTATCTCCCCTTCACTCTCCTAGCAAAGTGAAAGCATCCTATTCCTTTTCCTGAGTTCCCAATCTTGGTAAATAGTGCTCTCCTCCAAGTCATTTAAGCTAGAAACCTCAGAATCCTCCTTGATCCCTCTGTCATCCCCCATATTTAGCTACTCAACAAACCCTATTGATTTTCCCTCTGCAATGTCAAATATCTCTCAGATTTCCATTTCCACTGTATAGTCCTGGTTCAAGACCTTGTTTGATCTTGTGATAGTGAGTATTCTAACTTCTGTCCCTATCTCCATTCTGTAGATCAGACCACTGCAATGCCCAAGTCCAAAGCTGATGCAACCTTTCTCATCTTATCTCAGCCACTGTGTCACCAGAGCATCTTCATAAAAGACAGATGAGATTCTATCACGTCCATGTGCAAAAAGTAGCTCATAGTTCACCTTCTTATATTTAGGTCCCAGCTATTTTTCTAATTTTCTGTCCTCTCACCTTCTACTTTATCTGATACATCCTATCCTGTTACACCTAACCTTTAGACAGTCTCTACGTATGCATGCCCTTTCCCACATCTGAGTTTTTGTTCATGCTGTTCCCCCTCCTGAGAAAGTTCTCTCTCTACCTGATCCCACACAGCCTCACACCCTCACAGCTTTCTTTCCTCGGTTAGCATTAATCCTTCCCTCCCTGCTTTTCCGCCCTGTTCACCACCCACCTTGCATTATGGTCCTTTGTGTGGGGGAATGTGCCATCTCTCCTAGACTGGGAGCTTCCAAGCCGTGAACCACATTTCTAGAACTGTACCTTCTACATAGTAAATGCTCAATAATGGCAGTTAAATGGAATTGTTCAATTGTTCTTTTTTCTACTTGATTGACAGGATGAATTTGGGCATGCTATAAGTGATTATTCAGTATCTCCTGATCGACAGTTTATTCTCTTAGAGTACAACTATGTGAAGGTAAAAGAAATGCTGTCTTCCTGTGATGTTTAAAGAATCCTATGACTATGTTATTTTATAACTGATTTCAAGTCTATGAATATTTAAGGTTGACACCTCAGTAATAGTAGGCACTAAAAACTTATTAATTCAGCCCCAAAGGAGAAATGGTCATTCTCATTCATAAAAGAGACGTCCAACAAATGTTTTAAAAGAAATTCATTTTCAGTGTTTTTAAATACTAAAAAGTATAAGTAATAATATGTTATGGATACTAAAAAGTTAATAAAATAGAGCTTACTATTTAAAAGTATGTCTACATGTCTGACTTGTACATCCAGTAATAGAACCTCTTATTTCCTTTGTCTCAGTTTTAGATATAATAAAACTCTTGATAAGTATTAGCTTTAAAAAAAAGTTAAATTTCTCATCCTCCAAAAGAGACTCTGCAAGGTGATTCAGACCACCTCCCAGCCTTCAGGTCCTACCATACACAAACCATTCTATAGCGGGAGCCTCAGCACTGGTCATCAGTGCCCTGCAGAGAGCACTCAGCCTCCTCCAGTCACCCAGCCCAACATCAAATTCTTACACATTCAGTAAAGGTTGCAGCCTAATTGCATATCCTCTTCGTGTTTAGAATGACTGCAAATCGCCAGTAACTTTAACTGCAATTTTTGGGTTCCTGATGGATTTGACAACAGTTGTTGAGTATAGGAAGTTTTGAGACATGTAGGAAAGATTAAAAATTGGTAGAGATATTCTGCATTGAAAGCAAAATACACAGAGCCATATGATGTGGACTAATGGATGCTTTTCACTGGTAGACCTTAGCTGGACAACCATTACTGGTAACTTGTATTTGTTGTGTCGCTGGAGTTTTAACTGCTTTTACTGTTTTCACTCTGTCCCCTTTATCCCGCTGTCTATGCTTTTCAGACGGTATCCACAGTGCCCCTTTTAAAACCTAAATTAGATTACATTATGATCATGATTAGTGGCTTCCCATCACCCCCAGAGTAAAACACCAACTCTCAACTCAGCATCCTCAGAAGCCTGTGTGACTGGACCCCAGTGAGCCCGTCTGAACACATCTCCTACCACCGTCTCTGCACTCACCGTGCTTGGCCTGGGTTTCCCAACTCAGCCTGCACCTTAGAATCACCTGGTGGGGGGGGGTTCTTAAAATACAGATGCCTGCAGCCTACCCCACACCAACTAACTCAGCTTAGCTATGGGTGGGGCCTAGGCACAGGTAGATCTAAGGGCTCCCAGGTAAGTAAATGATCAACAGTTAAGAACTTTTAAGTTCACACCTCTTTATTTTTCTCAAGCATCACTTTCATTCCCATCTAAGGGCCAAAGCATTTGCTAGTGCTTCCTCCTAGAACCTTCTTCCCCTCATCATCATATGGCTCTCCCTTTTTAGTAGCACAGGTCCAGGCTGTCTTGGATCCCTTTATCTAACATTACTCCCTGCCATTCTGTTCCCCCACACTGGACCATTCACTCTTTATCACATTAGCTTATTTTACTTTCTTCATACATTTTATTGCAAATCATGAATTATAAGATTTTTGAAAGTAGAGAATATATCTTCTATTTTACTTCCCAGAGTATCCAGTAGAATTTTCTGTACAGCATAAATGTTGACTAATCAACTCTCAAGAAACATATCCAGAACAAAGTAGTTATCTTCCGTTTCCTCGGAGGTCTACTGTGCAGTGTTCCTTAGATCCTACGCCATGGCTTCTCCATGACTGAGTTAGTGCATACAGAAAGATTAATTATTACTTCTAAGTTGTGGCTACAAGAAAATAAGTGAGTGAGTGAAAACATAAATAAATAAGTACCAGACAACTTGGTACAGATGTTCTCCGATGCTCTCCGCTTATTGCCCAATGCTCTAGAGATAATAATAGTTGCATCACCTATACATGTTGACAGTGTTACAGGAGCCCTGCTAAGCACTTCACATGCATTCCCACGCACCTGAGGTTTTTGCTGTCATTATCCCCATTTTTCTAAAGAGAAAATTGAAGCTTAGAAAGGAATTGCCTGATACTACACAGCGGAGACTTGTCTTAGTCCATTCAGGCTGCTATAACAAAAGACCACAGGCTGTGCGGCTTGACAACAGAAATTTACTTCTCACAGTTCTGGAAGCTGAGAAGTCCAAGATCAAGGTGCCAGCATATTCAGTGTCTGGTGAGATCCCACTTCCTGGATCATAGTTGGCTCTCTTCTCCCTGTGTCCTCACATGGTAGAAGGGGCAAAGAATCTCTCTGGAGTTTCTTTTATAAGGGTACTGATCCCATTCACGAGGGCTCCACACTCATGACGTAGTCACCTCCCAAAGGCCCCACCTCCACATAGCATCACACTAAGGATTAGGATTTCAACACATAAATTTGGAGGGGAAACAAATATTCATTCTATAGCAAGACTTGAATCCAGGTTAGAAGACTCCACAGCTTGTGCTCTTAAACGTGATCTTTCCCATCTTTGTGTTTCAACTTCTCTCTGCTATGATGCTTTTTTTTCCCCTTTCCTGCATGACTGTCTTCTCCCACTGAAATTCAGTCCATGAATCACTTTTTCCATGCGCCTCTTTCCCACCCGAAGCCTAATATATTATTTCTGCCTCTCCCCACCCCTCTCCATGATATCTCTTGTGACTCTTTTCTTGTATTTACTTGCTCATGTCCCCCATTCAACTATGAGCTCCTCAAGAAGAGGGAGCCTGTCTTATCCAGGAATGGCTGAGAGAGGATAGCTGCCAATGTTTATAACCCAAATAGACTGATGGTCTGTTTCAAAACATGGAGTGAATGTACCAAACATCTTGGGTATCCTTTTACAACTCATGATGGATCTGTCATTCTGCAATGATCTCAAACTTTCTTAAACCTCTTAAAATTTTTAACCTGTACTGCACCTTTTGGCTCTAGCAAGTATTATACTCAGAGGTTTCCCAGAAACAAGCATGGATTGTTCAAAATAATCTAGGATTCAAAATGGAATGTGTGACTTGCAAAATGTGGGGACTTAATAAATATTTGTTGACAAGAGAAGATAGGAGGGTGATAAATGATAAGTGGGAAATAGTCTTCAAGGTTAGGAACCCTGGCTTGTGTCTCAGCTCTTCCATTATACAGCCAGGAGTCCTTGGGCTACCCATTTCCTCTGTTTTATCCTCGTATGTAAAATCTGCTTTTTATTTTAGTTTGGTTTATTTCTTGAACACATACTATGTGGCTTGTGCTAGACCAGACTCCAGCTATTTAAAGATGAGTAAGACAATTTCTTACCTCTAGGAGTATAATAGGGAAGACAGACAAATAAACAAGTAATTTCTTTTAAAATATCTTTATATAGGCATTAACATATAAACATAATTTTTGGTAAATGTTAATCCGTATAAGTATATATGTATTTTTATCTTCATTTTTTTTTCCTTTTTTTTTTTGCTTACCTCCTTCCTCCTCATCTCTCTGCCTTTTCCCCATGTATCCCATGTTAAGAATCTAGCACTGGGGCCGGCCCCGTGGCCGAGTGGTAAGTTCATGCACTCCGCTGCAGCGGCCCAGGGTTTCACTGGTTTGGATCCTGGATGCGGACATGGCACCACTCATCAGGCCACGTTGAGGTGGTGGTCCCACATGACACAACTAGAAGGACCCACAACTAAAATATACAACTATGTACTGGGGGGATTTGGGGAGAAAAAGCAGAAGGTAAAAAACAAAGTAGATTGGCAACAGTTGTTAGCTCAGGTGCCAATCTTTAAAAAAAAAAAAAGAATCTAGCGTATATCTCTTCATATTTTGTGTTTTCTCTTTATCTATATAATTCTATGAAGATAGAGATTCTTTTTAGTTATGCTTATTTTATAAAAATAGAATCATGTTTTCCATATTTTTCTATAAATTATATTTCTCACTCAATGATACCATGTGGAACTTTTTCCAAGTCATCTGATATAGCTTTAATTTATTTATTTTTAAGTTAATAGACTTTATTATTTACAGCAGCTTTAGATTTACAGAAAATAAGCAGAAAATACAGAAAGTTCCCATCTACTCCTCACTGCCCACTGCCTCCACCGCACTTTCCCCCTTTAGTAACATTTTGCATTAGTGTGTTGCATTTCTTACAATGATCCGATATTCATACATTATTATTTACTAAAGTCGGTAGTTTACGTTAGGGTTCACTCTTTGCTGTGTACATTCTATGAGTTTTGGCAAATGTATAATGGCATGTAACTATCATTACAGTATCATACTGAATATTTTTACTGGCTGAAAATCCCCTGTGCTCCACTTATTCATCCCTCTCTCCCCCCAACCCCTTGCAACCGCTGATCATTTTACTATTTCCATAATTTTGTCACTTCCATAACGTCATATGGTTGGAACCATGCAGTATGTAGCCTTTTCAGATTGCCTTCTTTCACTTAGCAGTATGCGTTTTAAGATTCCTCCATGACTTTTTGTGATGTGATAGCTCACTTCTTTTTATCACTGAATAATATCCCAGTGCCTGGATGGCCCATGGTTTGTTAATCCATTCACCTATTGAAAGACTTTTTGGTTGCTTCCAAGTTTGGGCCATTGCTCCTAAAGCTGCCATAAAAATTTCTGTGTAGGTTTTCATGTGGGTATAAGTTTTCAACTCACTTGGATAAATAGCAAGGAGCTTGCTGGTAAAGTTATTTGGGTTTGGAGTTTTCTTTGTGCAAAGGTTTTTATTGATGGATTCAATTTGTTTATTAGGTGTAGACTATTCAAATTTCCGGTCTTTCCTTGTCTCACTTTTGATAACTTGTTTGTCAAGGAATTTGTCCTTTTTTCTAACTTTTAAAATGTATTGGCAAAAATGTTTATAATAGGGTCTTATAAACTTTTAATGTCTGTAGAGTCTGTTGTGGTATCCCATTTGTCATTTCTGATATTGGTCATTCATACTTTTTTTCCTCACTCTTACTATGTTAGCAATTTTATTAGTCTTGAAGAATAAGTTTTCAGCTTTGATTTGTCTCTATTGTGTACTTTCTATTTGATTACTGCTTTTACTTTTATTATGTCTTTTCTTCTAATTTCTTTGGATTTGGTTTGCTTTTCATTTGATAGCTTCTTAAGAGGGTTGTTTAAAATATCGATGGCATATGTATTTTGATTTTAATGTATATTGAGTGCCAAGTGGCTTTTAAAAAATCTATAACACTGGGGCTGGCCCCGTGGCCGAGTGGTTAAGTTCGCGCGCTCCGCTGCAGGCGGCCCAGTGTTTCGTCGGTTCGAATCCTGGGCGCGGACATGGCACTGCTCGTCAGACCACGCTGAGGCAGCGTCCCACATGCCGCAACTAGAGGAACCCACAACGAAGAATACACAACTATGTACCGGGGGGCTTTGGGGAGAAAAAGGAAAAAATAAAATCTTAAAAAAAAAAAAAAAATCTATAACACTTTATATTTTCATGATCAATGTAAGAAAGTAAACATTTCTCCACATCACCACCAGCAATAGCATTATAGATCTTTTAAATATTTTGCCAATAAGATGGTTGAAAAGTGAAAATTTGCATTTGTTTGAACAGGTGAACTTAGCATACTGTGGTAAGTGCTAGGAATAGGAAGCGGCACTTGGCCCATTGTGGTCCTGGGGAAGCTGCTTGGCAGAGGTGATGCCAGAGCTGTGGTGTAGATGAAGTCCAGAGGAGTCTATACCAGATGGTCTTTAAGATACTTTCTAATTCCAAACTTCCAGGAATCTAGATAGGGAATTATAAGATATGATAAAATTTGAGAATTATACAATGATACATTACTTTATCTCTCATCTTGAGCTCCTATAGCAAGTAGCCAAACTATCAAGGATCACAAAAGGCTGAAATGTCTGCTTTCTTTTATAGCAATGGAGACATTCCTACACTGCCTCATATGACATTTATGACTTAAATAAAAGGTCAGTTACTTCCTCATAAAATCTATTATGCTTTTCTAGTGTAATAATAATTTTTTCAAGAAAGCAATCCCACTGTGGTTTATTCATTTGGTAATGTTTCCTTGTATCTTTTTTCCAGGCAGCTGATTACAGAAGAGAGAATTCCAAACAAGACACAGTGGATCACATGGTCACCAGAGGGTCATAAATTGGTTAGTGAGTCTTTCCTGTTGTCAGAAAAATAATGACTTATATCTTTCATATGCAGAAGCTACTAACCCGGATATAGAGTAGACACTTAGGAAGCCAGTACTTCACTATCAAATATAGTGTTATTGCCTAAAATAATATTTTATTAGCCTACCACAGTAAATACAATTCCTCAACGTTTCTGAACTACCATTAGAGAATGTTTTATTTACTGGGAAAATGCTCATTAAACTCTTAAATTCTAATTTCTGTTGTACTTAGATTTTTTTAAGAGGAGTATCTGCTTTCAGTTAGTTCTGTGACCCTCTCTGTGTCACTATAGATATATCTTCATGTTTTATAGTGCTAGGAGAATGTCCGAAGTCCAAAAGAATCTAAACAGGAAGATGGACTGTTTATGTGTAGTTGAACTTGTCCGGGGTCCAACTGTATTGCCTCTACTCAACTCCCCCAGAAAGAAATGCACAAGCACATACCGTCCCAGAGAATTGGCCAGTCTTGTAGGGCTTCTCATACACTTTAGCATCCAATTAGTGGTGGTTGTGAGCTGCTTCTTTTTAATATGTTAGGAGTATTTAGAGGATTATACCTGGTATACTTCTAATTTAAGAATGTGAGGGGAAGGGAATAAATGACTCTCTCTCTCAAATTGAATAACCTAAGGTACTCATTACCCTTGCATACCAATTTTTTTTTAGGATAAAGTAAATTAGGAATGTTTTTTAAAACTCTAAACAAAATATAGTAAAGATGTTATTATTTATCAATATTTTTTCAATCTTCCTAGGCATATGTTTGGAACAGTGATATTTATGTTAAAAATGAACCAAATTCGTCAAGTCAGAGGATCACGTGGAATGGGAAAGAAAATGTAATATATAATGGAATAACTGACTGGGTTTATGAAGGTAGAGACTTTAAAGCTTTCTCAAATCAGAAAATCTGTAAGTTTTCAAAAGTAGTTAAACATTTCTTTAAAAATAGGAAAATTCAATGGCGTTCAAAATAAGTTGCATTTTAAAAAATGTCATCAGGTCTCTTTTAGCATTTATAATACTAAGTATCTCATAAAACAAGAATTTCTTAGCAGTAGCTAGTACTGCTGGTGTCCTCTTTGTCTCTCAATGCTCCTATTGTCTTAGGTCCACTGCTACAAAGGGCCTTTCTGTGTAGGTGGCTGTTCTACTTTACTGGGGCATAAAGCCTCCAGATTAACATCAGATGTTTCTCTAACTGGGCCTACCTAACCCAGAAGTTACTAAGGAAAGCTAAATACTCCCACAGCATTCCAAAAGATAACAAAATATTGTTTAGAGGCTGGGGAATAGTGGGGAAGAAAATGCCTGTTTTATAATGCATTTGTGTTCACTTGAACTTGGACAAATCATAATTTCCTCTTTTTAAAGAAGAAAAAAATAATTAGAAGGGCTTAAGAAACAAAGAGTAAAAAAACCAGAACTAAAGAAGTGAAAAAGGATTGTTCTCTCTTTTAGGATAAAGAGTTTTAGAAAATATTAGAAAAACATTATTCATGTCAATAGTTGCCAAGGTAAGAGGCATTTTGAGGCTGACCCAAACCATTCACATGGTTGCCTCATGCTTATTAAAAATTCATCCTTATTTCTTCTTCATAGTTTAAAAAATTGGTTTTTCTTCATGACTTAATTTTGGTTCATACCCAGTTCAAGTCAAGTTCAATTAAATGGATAACATTATAGCAACAACAAACAAAATCACTTTATAAGAAATAATTCCCGGGGCCAACCCCGTGGCCGAGTAGTTAAGTTCATTGCTCTGCTTTGGCAGCCCAGGGTTTCACCGGTTCAGATCCTCGGCACGGACATGGCACCGCTCATCTGGCCATGCTGAGGTGGCATCCCACACAGCACCGCTAGAAGGACCTACAACTAGAATATACAACTATGTACAGGGGGCTTTGGGGATAAGAAGAAGAAGAAGAAAAAAAAGAGAGATTGGCAACAGATGTTAGCTCAGGTGCCAATCTTTAAAAAAAAGAAAAAGAAAGAATTCCTATGGCCCAGAAATAAGTGTTAGATTAAAGCTTATAATGAAATTTACTAGCACTAGTCACTTAAGAGATTGAAAAACGTCTTTAACACTTGTTTGGAACAGCACAGCACAAGATCCTCCAGGTGAACTGGGTAAAGCCTTTTCCCAAAGCTGTGACCAGACCCTTCCTCGGAACAACCAGGCATCTCTAAGATATGAACACCCCTAGCACTAACACCCTTTCCAAGGTCGATAATAGCTGGAGGAGTCTCATTTTGCGTGTTCACGACCAAGCCATTCACAAGCAGAAGAAGGGCTTCACAACTCCAGTGTGGGCCTGTCTCTAAAAACAGGACTTTGATCCATGCAGGGAAATTCCTACAATTGGTTTTGTGTATTTACACATGACCCATACTTAGAATACCTGTTTCTGTATATATTGGATCCATCCTCCCATTGGAGCCACTCTATCCACTACAGCCGTGAAGGCTTGTTGGGATTGAAAGAGAGTACATTTTGGGACTCCGTGGATTCACAAGTGAAAGAACAAACAAAGCTGCCAGGTCCAGAGAGTGCCATGTGCCACAGTGCAGAGGGACACTCAAAGAGGAGCCTACATTCTGGAACTGGGGTTCTCCCCACCCCACCCCATCCTGTGTCCCCAAATGGCTTTCTCTCTCAATTTCTCTATGTTTTCACTTTGTCTTATTTCATGATTTTCTAATTGATTTTTATTTTATTTATGTATTTTTTATTGAGGTAACATTGGTTTATAACATCTTATAAATTTTAGGTGAACATTATCATATTTCTATTTCTGTGTAAACTACATCATGTTCACTACCCAAAGACTGGTTACCATCCATCACCATATACATGTGCCCTATTGCCCTTTTTGCCCTCCTCCCTACCCCCTTCCCCTCTGATAATCACCAATCTGATCTTTGTATCGATGAATTTGTTTGCTGTTGCTTTTATCTTCGACTTATGAGTAAAATCACGGTATTTGACTTTCTCCGTCTGACATTTCGCTTAGCATAATACCCTCAAGCAAGTTCCATCCATGTTATCACAAATGGCAAGATTTCATCTTGTTTTTAATAGCTGAGTAGTATTCCGTTGCATGTATAAACCACATCTTCTTTATCCATTCATCCATTTATGGGCACTTAGGTTGTTTCCAAGTCTCAGCTATTGTGAATAACGCCACAATGAACATAGGGGTGCATATATCTTTGTGCATTTATGTTTTCATGTTCTTCGAATAAATACGCAGAAGTGGAATAGCTGGATCACATGGTAGTTCTATTCTTAATTTTTTGAGGATTCTCCATACTATTTTCCATAGTGGCTGCACCAGTTTGCATTCCCACCAGGAGCGTATGAGGGTTCCCTTTTCTCCAGGTCCTCTCCAACACTTGTTATTTCTTGTCCTGTTAATTATAGCCATTCTGATGGGTGTGAGGTGATATCTCATTGTAGTTTTGATTTGCATTTCCCTGATAATTAGTGATGTTGAACATTTTTTCATATGCTTATTGGCCATCTCCATATCTTCTTTGGAAAAATGTCTGTTCAGATCTTTTGCCCATTTTTTTATTGGTCGTTTGTTTCTTTGTTCTTGAAATGTAAGAGTTCTTTATATATTTTGGATATTAACCCCTTATCAGATATGTGGTTGGCAAATATCTTCTCCCAATTATAAGGTTATCTTTTTGTTTTGTTGATGGTTTCCTTTGCTGTCCAGAAGCTTTTTAGTTTGATGTAGCCCCATTTGTTTATTTTTTCTTTTGTTTCTCTTGCGTGGTGAGACATGGTATTCAAAAAGATGCTGCTAAGACTGATGTTGAAGAGCATACTGCCTGTGTTTTCTTCTAGAAGTTTTCAACTCTTACATTATGGTTTCATCTCTTACATTAAAGTCTTTAATCTATTTTGAGTTAATTTTTGTGTATGGTGTAAGATAATGGTCTACTTTCATTCTTTTGCATGTGGCTGTCCAGTTTTCCCAGCACCATTTATTGAAGAGAGTTTCCTTTCTCCATTGTATGTTATCAGCTCCTTTGTTGAAAATTAGCTGTCCATAGGTGTGGGGGTTTACTTCTGGGCCCTTGATTCTATACCATTGATCTGTGTCTGTTTTTGTGCCAATACCACGCTGTTTTGATTACTGTATCTTTGTAGTACTTTTTGAAATCAAGGAGTGTGATACCTCTAGCTTTGTTCTTTTTTCTCAGGATTCCTTTAGCTATTCTGCACTTTTTGTTGTTCCACATAAATTTTAGGATTCTTTATTCTATTTCTGTGAAAATGTCACTGGGACATTGGTAGGGATTATGTTGAATCTATAGATTGCTTTGGGAAGTATGGACATTTTAACCATGTTAATTCATAGAATCCATGGACATGGACTATCTTTCCATTTTTTTGTGTTTTCTTCAATTTCTTTCAACAATGTTTTTTTCAGTATGTCTATAATATATACTTTTTTTTAAGACTTTATTTTTTTTTATTTTTCTTTCTTCTGCCCAAAACACCCCAGTACATAGTTGCATATGCTAGTTGTGGGTCCCTCCAGCTGCAGCATGTGGGATGCCACCCCAACATGACCCCATGAGCGGTGCCATGTCGTGCCCAGGATCTGATTCGGCGAAACCCTGGGCTGCCGAAACAGAGCAGGCGAACTCAACCACTCGCCCACAGGGCTGGCACCTCAACAATGTTTTATAGTTTTCAGTGTACAAGTCTTTCACCTCTTTGGTTGAATTTATTCCTACCTATTTTATTCTTTTTGTTGCGATTTTAGATGGGATTGTAGATTGTATTCTTTTTTTTTTTTGGTTTCTGAACAGCAGACGTTTATTTCTCATAGTTCTGGAGACTGGAATTTGAGGTCAGGGTACCAGCATGGTTGAATGAGGGCTCTCTTCTGGGTTGCAGACTTCTAGAGACGTCCTCCAATGGTGGGAGGGGTGAGGGAGCTCTGTGGGGTCTCTTTTATTTTTTTTTATTTTTTATTTTTTTATTGAGTTAATGATAGGTTACAATCTTGTGTGATTTCAGTTGTACATTAATGTTTGTCATTCGTGTTGTAGGTGCACCATTTCACCCCTTGTGCCCATCCCCCACCCCACCTTTCCCCTGGTAGCCACTAATCTGTTCTCTTTGTCCACATTTTTAAATTCCTCATATGAGTGGAGTCATACAGAGATTATCCTTCTCTAACTGGCTTATTTCACTTTACGATGGAATTGTATTCTTAATTTCTCTTTCTGCTACTTCATTGTTAGTGTATAGAAATGCAACTGATTTTTTTATGTTGATTTTGTATCCTGTGACTTCACAGGATTCTTTTATTATTTCTAATAGTTTTTTGGTGGATTCTTTAGGATTTTCTGTATAAAATCATGTCATCTGCAAATAGTGACAGTTTTACTTCTTCCTTTCCAATTTGGGTCCCTTTTATTCCTTCTTCTTGCCTGATTGTTCTGGTTAGGACTGCCAATACTATGTTAAATAAGAGTGATGAAAGTGGGCTTCCTTGTCCGGTTCCTGTTCTTCAAGGGATAGTTTTCAGATTTTTACCATTGAGTATGATATGAGCTGTGGGTTCATCATATATGGGCTTTATTATGTTGAGTTACTTTCCTTCTATACCCATTTTATTCAGACTTTTTATCATAAATAGATGCTGTACCTTGTCTAGTGCTTTCTCTGCATCTATTGAGATGACCATATTCTTTATTTATTTATTTGTGACATTTATTCTTCGTTTTATTGATGTGGTGTATCACATTGATTGATTTGCAGATCTTAAACCATCCCTGCATCCCTGGAATAAATCCCACTTGATCTCTGATCATGGTGTATGATCTTTTTAATGTGTTGTTATATTCGA